GCTATAACAATTGTAGAATAACCAACAGATAAAGTAAACAATTACTCTTGAGAAGTTCCAACAAGTTACTATCACGTTAATTAATATATGTACATGATGTAATTTGATTTAAAAGCCACACCTCAAGTTGTGAACCTTGCAGGTCCTTGTAATTTTCTGCTACAGATTTGCATTTTCCCAACATATTTAGCTTGCTTTAATTTATTTTGTATGTATATTTGGGTGATTGTGCGTGGTAAGAAGAATGACACACTTACCACTAGAGAAAAGCCCCTGGACTGAAAGGGAAAATGGTCTTAGAAAATGTTGGTAAGTGCGGCTTTCCTTTCCCAAACCAAAGTCCAGCAAACAAACGATTTTTACGGCTCGATCTGAGAAGAAAAATATATTAAATAAGTAGATATTAAGTGCTTATACTATTAAGAGAAGTCAAATAATTATTGTATGATCATGGAATGTTTGGTTACCTGAACCAATCCAGGTTAAGTATAAATAATTTTCCTAAGGGCGCGCATCAAAGGAATCGATGAACCCGTGTGTGGATTCGTCAGTTCCTTTGATGCACCATGATCCGAGTGATCTTGGATCACCGATCCGGATCTGGATCACCCCAAAAGAACGCACCCTAAGTCTTGAAACTCAAGAGCACTTGTAGAGGGTCTGAATGGGGGGGTCCATTTGTCGGTTGTCAGTTAAAATTCAGTTACTTTGTCAGTAGTCGGTTAAAATTTTCGATCTTTGTCGGTAGTCCATTAAACTTCTTGATTTTTGTTGGTTGTCCGAAAATCTCAGTTAATAAGTAAAAACGCTTGTTAATTATTAATATTTTTTATGTATTTCACCAAGTTTCAAGACTTTGATCCCAAGGGAAAGAGTAAAACTTGTAAGAATGCATCATTTGATTGCCACTTAAACTTCAATAACTCTTGTTTGTTTATGCAACATCATCGTCAGGAGCTGATCGGCTCCTGTGGTCGTTTATTTCACCATTGTTTGCCAAATGAATATCATGCGTACTGATAAGATCACCAAATGTTTTACTGTAAATGCGAACTTGGTTTCCCTGTCGATTACACGGCACAGTAAAAAGTAATTAATTAATTAATGGACACCAGCCTTTTGGATACTTAAATTATCAGCTTAGTGGAAAACTGCAAGGGGTGACGGGCTGCACATCTATCCTTTGCCATAAGTTTCCTTCCTCAAAGAAATAACACTTTAACCCTTGGACATAAAAGGGGTGGGAGGTGGATGCCACCCCCTTTAGATTTTCTGGGATTTTTCCAGGAGGATAAAACATCAGCACCTGAGGTTTCCAGTAGATGTTCGTTTACCCCTCGCACGCATTTTGAGAAAAGTTCAGTGATGATCAGTTTCTACGGTTACGAGGTATGACGTAATAAGTAGCAGGTTGTCAAGCCATTTTGAGTGAAAATATATGTTTTTTTTTCAACTCTTTTCAACAATAAAAGAAAAATCTTGCAGCTAAAATCATGCAAAGTGCTTATTTATGTGTTATTATTCATGTCAAGCAATAAACATTTCTCTTTGTTTTAACCTGTTTTGTAATTCTTTGTAATATCCAAGATGACGGCAATGATGGCGACCATCATTGGTGACGTAACAGGCCTCCAGCAGTGCTACCATTCGTAAATTATACCTCATCTTGTTACGAAGATCAAAGGCTTTTCAGTGAAGGCAAAATCGCTTCAAAATACTGCAACATATCAAAAACTCTGGGGAGGGGTTCCATCTACCATCCTCTTGTACCATGGTGGGGGGTATGATTTTGCGTGTACGTCTGAGGGTTAAGTTGGCAAGGTAGTGGTTGGTTTTGTATGAGATTACACTTTTACATTAAAGTTTCTTTTATAATAGACACTAAGGGCTTGTATTGTGTCACGAAAGGCAATATTTCTTTTTCTTCCTTGTTGTTTTGTTTCAGGAGCGCTGCTTTTCTCCTGTGAGTTTTACTTCTAATAGCAATTTTTATTTCAAAACTATGTGGCCAGCCTATGTCCATCAACCGCTTTTTGAAATCTGAAATACTTCCTCAGAGGAGTTTGTTCGTAGGATACTCAAGGCCAAATCCATCGGTCAAATCCATTTTAACATTTGGCGGGTGGTAAGAGGTGAAAATGTATATACGTCTTTACGTCAATGATAGCTTTTTCTCATTTTTCGTTGAATGTTGTGCCTTGGTATACAACGGGGTATAAAAAGATTGTCTCAGTGTCACATATTTCGGGCGTAAATTTCATGGCCAGTGGAGAAGTAGGGTGAAGTAAGTTTACTTGTTCCGTGAATTTGAAGAAATCTACCATGTCTGGTTTACTTATGTCCCACAGGGAAAAAATATCATCTATGCAGCATTTTCAAACAGTTGGTTTAAAGACGGTTTTGCTTAAACTTTGTGTTTCAATATATGCGGCCATGAAAATGTTGGAAAGGAAACTGCTTATGTGCTCATCGCGGTACTGTGGTTTCTTACTGATAGTGCTTTCCATTAAACTGGAAAGAATTTTCTTTCAGGATTAATCTAAACATTTCTCGGACCGAATCATAAGAAATGTTCAGTTTTTTCAGCTTTGTCTTTTCAATAAAATATATAAAGTCGGTAGCATCTTTAAGGACTGTGGCTTCTGTGATTATGATATTGGTTGTAGTAATGTAGCCGTATCAACAAAAGGGTAAGTTCTTTCTGTTAGACCATCTGATGAGTCATAAATTTAAAGAGGTTACTTCCTAACGGCTGGAAAAAAATGCAAAAATGCTCTTTTTTTCTGAAACAAATATTGATAATGTCAGCCCATGTCGGTAGTCGGTTAATATTTTTCCTGTCGGTAGTCGGTAATTTTTACTCGTTTTGTCGGTAGTCAGTAATATTTTTAGCCCTTTGTCGCTAGTCGGTTAACCCCATTAACACCCTCTTGTATGGGATGTCAACGGTTTTTTTTTAAAGGAGCTGTGTCACGAAATTCAGCCAAATTAGGTAACTACAAAATGCCCGTTAAATTAAGAGAAACGTAAAAATAACCGCTTAAAATATTAAAGGAAGGTTAAAATAACACAACAGAAACAACAGATGCCACGGATGGGAAAACTGAAGAAGATAGAAACGTATTGAAATTACGGTTTTTGAAAACTGTTCAGCCTGACAGTTTTTCAAAGTTGACCCCTGCTGCTTGCAACTTAAGAAATAATGCTCAGGAGACATATTTGTTTGCCTGTTTTGTCATTTACCTGTAAATTCTTTGCTTAGTTTAAGTTCCATAGCGATTGAGGTCGAGTAATTGGCAAAATTAAACAAAATGAACTGGACTGCCGTGACACAGCCCCTTTAAAAGAAGGGAAAATGTTATGTTTTCAAATAAAATCGACTTGCCTTATTGCCTTGTTGTATTCTTTGTTGTTTGCCCGCGTCTCCGGCCGTTTTGAAGCGTTTTCGGCGAGTTAGCGTGTTTTTGGTGTTCCACTGCTAAGATAAAGACAAGGCAGCACAGAGATTTCAGGAGCAACCAGGAGTGTCCGTCGCTCGAGGAGAATAATTCCGCTGGAAAAAATTACCCCCCGGCCTCAATTCCTCCACACATTCAAAGCAGAGATGTTGCAGTTCCATGTCCATTCACTCGATTCGCAATACCTCCCACAGATCGTTCACTAGCGATGCTTTTATCTCTTGCTCGATCGGCTCCCCAATTTCGAATTGGGTTCGTCCAAACTGCCGTCACAAGAGGATCATGAGAGGTACCCTTGTTACCAGGCCCTTACTCCATTACTCAATTCTCGTCCCCCGTCCCCAGAGGCCTCGATTCCAACGAGAGCGCGGCCTCTGGGGATGAAAAGAGGCGATTCCGGAATTGCGCAGGGAACTAGGGCGAGATTTTTTTTAACTAATCGATAAACCGTTTAAATCGATAAACATTTGACCAAGTTTGGTGATTTTAGGGTGAACAGAAACCAAGTTATAGACCTTGAAACATGGTTCAAATCCATGGTTCAAAATCTGTATAATGTTGAAACATCGTCCCCCAAAACCATACAAACTCTTATTTTTTTTATCAGTTTTGTGACAACTGTAAAATCCCGTCATTCAGCTACCATTTGAAAGAGGCTGAGACGAAAATCACGCATGTTTGCCCATTTCTCAGAGTATCACAGAAATCATAAAAAAATGTAAGAGTTTATGTGGTTCTGAGGACGCTGTCTCAACATTAGGGCCTTGCATACGGCGGCTGAGCTCGCAGTACGAGTGGCAGTCAAAACTTAGGTGTCCTGACAAAACGATACGATAACAGCCTTTTTCTTCGCAGTTAACAAAAATAAAGACAGTGCGTAAGTTGCTTTGGCCTCTACTAGTAGTTAACTTGAGTATTCCGGGTTTAAGTTGATGAGGAACAGCATATTTTGTTCAAAATAACACAACTATTATCCTGCCTGCCGATACTCGACGACGAACAACGAGCGAGTTGCCATGCCGAGCGCTGGCGACCCATTTTTGGCGCCAAAAGAGAAGCTTAGAAACACAAAATGTCAAAATGGTACATATTTTTACTTATTGTAAACTGTAAAAAATTGCGATAAAACATTTCTTAAAAAGCGACGACGTTTCGACGTTAGCTGAACGTCATTATCAAGTCAAAATATGTTAGTGATTTTTGGTCTATTGATAATGAAGTTCAGCTAACGTCGAAACGTCGTCGCTTTTTTAGCAATTTTTTTTAATCTTAAAATGATTTTAAGAAATGTTTTATCGCAATTTTTTATAGTTAAATGCTTTTCAAAATCACTTCTTGTTCGTATTGTAAACTGGTATGGTTTTTGAAGTACTGTTTAAAAAACGAGCAGCAGTGCTTTATCGGGTTTAAAAGCACGAGGCGTAGCCGAGTGCTTTTAGACCCGATAAAGCACGTGCTGCGAGTTTTTTTAACAGCTTCAAAAACAAGCCTGAAACGCGTGTCCGGAGGGAATTAAAACAATTGAGTTTTTGTGCAAAGAAGAAATTAGCATATAAGAAAAACAAGTCGACCTAATAATCAGTATGGTAATTTTTAAAAGCATACCTTTTTCCTTCGCTCCTTATTCTTCGTTGACGCCGGTCGAAGGAGGTTGGCTAAAAATGCCGCCTAAAAGAAAGTTCAGAGAATTTTTACAAACTGCGCACCAAAGAAGAAAAAGCACTGCTGATAAAACCCGTTCCAAAATGAACACGATATCAGGGGCACCCAACGGCAATTTTCGAGAAAATATCTGTTCGGAAGACGATTTGAGATCTAGATCTTTCGGAGCATTTGTTGTAAAATTTCTTGCTTGCCTGCCGCTCCTAGGATTTTCGAACATACACAAAATGGTATAATTACCCATTTTTAAGAGATTTTGACCCTAAAAAAGGGCACCTAGAATTTTCGGGAGCCTTTTCCTGGCTGAAATGTTCGAGAAGGTATGTTTTTATCCCTATAATTTTCGGATCAATAGACTTTCAGCTAGGAAATCCGAACAGATGAAAAGTTTTTAGGGGATAAAAATATGCCTATATCTACCGTTTGAATACTAAAATACGTTCAACAGTGCTATGTTAAGTGGTTTTGAACTATATCCTCGTTTGGTGCCCCTGACGATATGTCCCAAAGTGGTCATTTTATATTTTCGCACAGTGGCAAAATGCAAGGCTGAACAAACAAGCAGCGAACGAAGACGCAGCGTTCGACGTGGAACTGGACAAAATCCAAAGTCTAGATACGAACATTATTAACATGACGTTGAATTTTTGGTTGACAAAATTTACTGAAGACGTCTGGAAGGAGGATGGCTGAGATTGCGATGAAAATGATTAGGACTATTTCTTAAAAATCACGAGTAATCTTTATATAAAGATCACTAGTGATCTTTATATAAAGATCACGGTAATCATATTATCATTAATAATTCAGTGGTAAATTCATTGCTTATGTATTGTTCCCCGATTTCCCCCGAGACCGAAATCAAAACCCTCTCCGGGCTTTTCAGAATGATCATTCTATACCGGCTATAAAGATGCAAGCTCGTGACTGATTTCTGTCATCTGATAGGATAATAGGCTCATGAATTATTTATGAGTTTTTGAAATGTAAATCCCTTTTCGTGGATATTTAATACAATTTCCAGTGAAAAAAGTTGCCTGATTTCGAAGCCTTTCCTGACTCGTTTACTTGACGTCAGGACACTAGATTTTTCCCGCTTGCTGAATCCTGATTGGTCAATTCAAATTTCCCGCGCGCCAGCTGTATGCAAGGAGAGAAGTTTGAATGGATTTTTGGACCACGTTTTGAGGTCCATAAGTTGATCTCTGTTTACCCTAAAGGCATGAAACTTGGTCAAATGACTAATCTCAACGTGATCTTTCATGCAGTGGTGTCAGTGTTAGGACTGGTTAAGATATGAACTCGCCTACTGGCCAGTGTATGTTAAGCGTACATCTGTAGGCGTGCTGGACTGTGGAATAAAGATTCGCGAAATGAAAGTCTTCTGACATCTTTCTTGCCATTGCAGACAGGGCTGAATAACGTCTGCGCATGTGCGAGATCTCATGGCTCCCGCTAGCGCCAACGGCCTGGGCACCATTAAAACCTCGAAAAAATGGCAATTTCAATCCCGTCCAAGAACCGAGCAATGGCCTCGTCAAACCGCCTCAGGCGACCTTGTCGTGTTTCTCCAGCTTGTGTTCGCTTAACACCTAGCAAGCCCACGCACTGGGCTTTGCATGTGCTCAAAGAACAATAGGATGGACGTAAATAAAATCCAAAACCCGGCGTAACTCTGATGTCATCTCCCAAATCCTCGATAAATCTCTCGTGTTTACGCCCTGTTTTCACCAACTGTACAAGCTTTAAACCCCAGTGTAAAAAAGGTATGTGCCGACCAATGGTCGAGGGAGCTATTGTTAAGATTTCTTTCTACCGTTTTCAGTGTGGCTCTACCTTTTCACCATAAACTGGGCACCATACGAAAAACGCCGCCATTTTTTCGAAGTTTTGTATGGTGCTCAGGCCGTTGGCGCCAGCGCGACCCATGAGATCTCGCACATGTGCAGACGTTATTCCGCCCTCCTGCCAATTGCAACCCGAAAATTGACACAAATTTTCTCAATTTTTACCGAGCGGATTTCGTCTCACAGGAGGGAATTCTCTGGGCACATCTTTGAGAGTGACCGAGAAAAAGCAATTTGAAATCTTCGCTTTTGCTTGAACTTTAATTGGTCAAGTTAAACGGCTCATTTGGATCCAAACGGACATTATTATTAACTATCATTATTATACTGATTACGCAAAATATTTTATAAGCCTATGAAGTTTTCTTTTACATGTAACAGTAGCGCTTGATAAAAAAAAAGCAAACAAACATCGAAAGTTTCGTGTTCAAGAGTAGCTTTCTAATTTAATTATTTAGCTAAAATTTGACTGCTATGTAGTAAATAAGAATTCGCTTGCAGCGCTGTCTTGTAACCAACAAGTTTTATGGAAGGTAATTACCTTGAAAAATTAAACTTAACCTTTCATGTACAGTAATTTCTATGCGCACGTTTTTTTTTTAAGAAGCACTTAAATTAACTGGGTATGTCGGTCAGCGGAAAATGTTTTAGACCTAGAGTATTCAATATGGCGGACTGAGATACTGAGGGACGAAGGACTTAAATTTGTGCGAAAAATTATCTGCCAATGGAACGAGGAGACGAGAAGGTGAAGGCTGGACAATCAGGGGCGTAGCCAGTCTTTTTGCATAGAGGGGTTCCTACTGTTTATTGCTTACCTAATTGACAAGCGAGCGCCGGAGGCGCTCTTTACTAGGAAGGGGCGAGGGGTTCCGAGAGCATGCTCCCCCGGAAAATTTTTAAATTTGGGGTCTTCAGAAATGGCGTTTCCTTGATTCTGAGCACAAATTTCCAATGATTTCAGCGCCAAACGTAGTTAGCATTTCTAAGAGGAGATTGTAAATCTCGTTTTCTGAAGAGGTCCACCGTAATAGAATTAAAAATGGGTAATATAAGAGTTGTTTAACATATATAAATTAAATTGTTCATCAAATGCTGTAGACTTGTGTTTTACGTTCACTCGGCTAGGATTTCAGAAGAAAGGAGGTGCCGTGGATACTTCCGTGCAAACATGTCGATATATGCTTTAATACCATAATAAACGTTCATTAGCGCAACGTACATGCCTGAACTGCATTGTTGGGTAGGTCGTGATCCTCGTTTAGCCACTTACGCCGCCAACGGAAAACACCCACATCAAATGAAAACCTGGGGTGATGGTAGGTCATCTGCATTGTACTGCAAAGCAGCTTGTCAGCACAGGGTTTCCTTCTCGAGAAATTAGCTGGGCCGGAAGTAGGCAGGGGAGGCTCGTATGATCCGTCCAATTTATGCACCCTCATAATATTGTAGCCTGTGATATAAATAATACCTATTTTCATAACCCAAAAGGGGGGTCCAGAACCCCTGGAACTCTCCCCTGGCTACGTCCCTGCAGTCAATGCTGCAGGGCGGGACCAAATTTATGCATTCTCATTACATCTGTTGACATAATGCATGAATTAGAAATTCGACGTTTGAGTCGGTGTCGAGAAAATGAGAAATTAAAAGTTGCTCAAAATCCGTTACAGACTTATTTTGTAAAATTTTGGCTCTGAACGCGATTTATCTTTACCAATCACCTGTGACAATTTCATTATAGGTTTTATGGTAAGTTTTCGAGCAATCCTTGATTAAACGCGTGCTCATGTGACGCCATGTCTTGCGTACGAGAAAGGAAGAGTAAATTGAGCGCTTTTTTTATCGCTGTTTATCGACCTTTTTTGTCATATTTTATTGGTCCTAGGCTTAAACACATGTTTGAACGGAGTTTGAAACTATCACTTAATATACTTAATATACTATCACTTAATATATAGTGATTTAACGCCTTTCTTGCGTCATTTTTGATCTCGCAATTACTACGTCTGGCAAGCAATCGTAGTGAGTGCTACTGAGACTCGGAAAAGCTGTAGAAAGCCTCCGTAAGAGTAAAAATTTTCCACAAGATCACCCGTACAAAAACCTAGCTTGTGTACAGCCGCCCCCTTCCCTAAAAAATCAGGATTAGCGATGCCGCTACACAAACGTCTCTCTCCCTCATATTTTTCAGGAGAGAGGGTGCTTGAACACAAACTAACTAGGCGCAAAAGAAAAACAACACTTCGATGTCTCTGACTCCGATGCCGAAATGAACTTTCAAACAGACTTCAATATTTACTACTGAGGAGCCGGAGTAGTTTAAATTTCACCCTTTGGTGTGATCAAAAGGCAGAAATGTCCAGGAAAACTAATTAAACTTTGGAGGAGGCCGGAAGAATCCCTATCGGCTATAGGAGAAGAAAGGAAGAGGAATAGATGTCAGAACACACTTGGACCATGGTGGCTGAAGGGAAGTGTATAAAGAAGCGTCCGAGTGACAATTATAACAATCAAAGCTTCGAGAAAGAATTAGCCATGAGAAATGAAATGGACAATGAAGAGAAAATTAAAGATAGCAAGATATGATAAGTAGAAGTATTCAGGGAGACCAATACGCCGGAGACCGAAAAGGGGTAGTACACAAAGTATGAGATGAGCAAACTGAATATTCTAAACGCACGGTTTAAATTAATAAACAAAACTTTTGACTCAAAGTTAATTTCCCCTTCTCTTTTAGGCTTTTCTTCTCACGGCGATTACTGACCACTCTTTCCTAGCCTTGTTCTTAGTCTACTTGTCACCGACAGCAGAGATAAATGCCTGCCTTGCTTGCCTACCTGCAACAGTATCTTTCCAAGAGTGAAGTGCATGGGACTTCGTTTCAAGGTATCTTTGAAGAAAAAGGCGACACATCATTCTAGAGCCTTTTGATACTTCATCACAGCGAAGTGCTTTAAATGGTCGTTTAAATTTGCATTCGAACAGCACGAACTATCTAAACCAGTCTCCTTCTTTTGAAGATGATATCAATGTCTGTGGCTTTTGAACGATCCAGAACTTTATCATTTGTGACGTGTGATCTCAATTTATCTTAAGAATGGATCTAATGTGCAATTGTTAATTGGTTCTAAGTAGTACGAAATGATGGCAATGGATATACGGTCAAGCTCTTACTTCCGTACATTATTAGGGGGACAACACATTGACTGTATTCTTTGAGTCTGGGTCATGTTGTCAAACGCCTATTTCTGAGTCTTCCTAGGCCTATTACACACGAGCCGGTTTCGGTAGGTGCGGTTATCTCGTCAATTAACTTGCAGTCTGTGGTGACATAGCAGCCAAGATATTTGAAACGATCTACTTTGTTCAACGTAAGTCCAGCTATAGAGAAATCAGCTTGTTAGTGGGCACTCAAAGTCTCGTTTTCGTTATAATAATCCGAAGACCCATCTTTTTTTTAACAGACTGCTGTAGACGAAAGCATCATTGCGTACTGAATACATAACGGCAATATCGTCTGCATACTAGACTTCTCTTTAAATATGTGGTGAGTGTCTTTATCTTATGTGATAGATTTCAAGCGTCGAAACCTAAATGCTATATGATAGACTGATGTTGATAAGAGCGAGGTGTAACGTAATAGCAGTTTACCTTCCAAGAAAAATAAGGGACTACTTTACAAAGTTCAAACGTATCGCCATGAACATCTGAAGATACTGATGGTTCCCAAAGAAACTTCATATTCCTCGAACAAGAAGGGGTATATATCTTACCATAACAGCCTGAAATGTTTAGATAACTATTGTTAGTTACATTTTCAAACTTTTAAAGACGAATCTCGGAACGAAGTTAGGTTCCCAAGCTCTATCAACATCAAGGACATCAATTCACACCCTCTTTTGGGGTAGCGGCAAAGCTAGAAAAGCTGATGTTGGCTTTGACATCTCCATTTAACCAAATCATATAAATCCGGTTCCTATAAACAGTAGCTTGATGACGGCTGAGGCTCCTCTCACGTAGAGAGACTAACACTATCAAGCACAAAAAGCTGCAAACCTTAAAGATAGGAAGAGCGTATGTGAAATCGGCGAGATGTGAAAATGGGACTTAAAAAAAACTGATCTCTTCTGGACTCCTGAAAACAAGAGACGGAAAGGTTCTTTCAGATGAAGGGAAGATGAAGTATCTTGCCTTCTACGCCATCCCAGACATCTCAGAGGCGGAAGAAGACCTTGAGATCTGTCTCCATGATCTAACACAAGATGAGGCCCAAAAGATATTGATAGCAAAGTTTGAAAATATTTGACGAAGACGCAATCTATCTAGTTAAATCTGAAGCTTAAAACCGGAGATCCCTAAAATCCGTTGTCATATCCTCTAAGGAGAGAGAGAAGAACGGTGGCGTCAAGGAGAAAAGTAAATGCGACTTGTGATCAAAATACCAATTAAAGCTACATATACAAAGACAAACTAACTATTACCCATTTAAAAACAAGATCAAATAGGCGAAGTCCTGCAGGGCCCATAGCTTTGTTCTCCGTCAGATCATTCCCCCACGAAAACAAAAATGTCATCATCATCCGAAAGCCAGTCAGCACAACAGTCAGCACAATCCGGAGCTACCTAGAGGTTAGATTAATTTACGTTCCCTGCATGGCAGCAAAGTGACAACAGATAGAAGCTACAAAAAGGCCGTGAACAGGATAACTTTTATCCATACGATGAGTGAACGATTTCGGGCAGTACAGTACTCATGGACGTCACTCAATCATCCGAGGCTTAAGGTCTCGGTAAACGAAAACGAGGTGCCCACAGAAAAAAATTCTAGTCGCGCCAGTATTTTCGCTACAAAGGCAAGTTATACATCAAATTAAAGCTAAAAGACTAAATTACCTTATAACAGATTTTATTTCATCGAATTTCAAAAGGCGCTTAAGTTTTTTGCTCTCGAACTCAGAGGTATCGAGTTTACTGCTGAAGCTCCAGCCCTTTCGCGTTGTTAAATATTCACTTCCTTTTTATTGCATCTGATTGACAGATAAAAGACCTAAAAAAGGGTGTGAGGAAATTTGCATATGTCTCGTATTAGTGGAATTATTGCATTTCAAACTAAAAAGTCGAATCTCGAGCGCGATTTACGCAAAGAAACTGACATAAAATGAGTTACAAAGGGAAATCGGAAAATTCCTCACACCCTTTTTTAGGTCTTTTATCTGTAAATCAGATGCAATAAAAAGAAAGTGAATATTTAACAACGAGAAAGGGCTGGAGCTTCAGCAGTAAACTCGATACCTCTGAGTTCGAGAGCAAAAGACTTAAACGCCTTTTGAAATTCTGGTAATGTTGGCAAACATTTTTTTTGGACCAGGGAGTCACTGATGTGCCTATGGGCTTTTTTTCATCACCATCTTTTTTTTCCAGGCAAATTGGATTGGGATCTCGCAAATTGTGTGAATAAATTTGGTTATGCCGACAAGGGTTCTGTTTTTTTGCAAACCGCCATGAGCTCTTGTTTGGCGAGAGCTTAAGATCGGAACGTTTTAGGACGGTTGAGCCAGAGGAAGGTAGAATGATTGTAATAGGAGATGAAAGTTAAAGTACCGAGGTTTTATTCAGGTTAACTTGCCGGCGGGCCAGTCCTTATTTGTTTTCGCGTTTACCAGGCGGGCGTGGAGCGCGAGATAGGGTGCCTGTCGTGCGCTCCACGCTCACTTCGTACTTTTCCACAGTTAGATGAACACTTAAAATATTAGTTGCAGTTACACTTGCCCTCTTCCCCAAAGGCTCCCCTTGAGGAAAGAGCTTTGGTTGGGCTCACTCTGGGCTGGGATCAATTTCTTGTTTGCGTTTACACGCTGTTTATTGCCCATGGGGAAGAAAAACTTGGAACCCATTTCGCGGTAAGTAAACACGAAAGAGTGACAAAAATCGTGGAACGTTTTTGACCATTTTGACCCTTTTAATTAAACCTCCACATCAGTTAAGTTTAGCGATAGCGATTCAGCACTTGATTTCAGACAACAAAGGTGTCCTGCATTCACGCATTATCCGGTGCTTGCAGCTGTTGTCTTTCAAAAAAGATAAATTGTCGCTTGTTAGTCAAATTACACTTGGTTCCAACGACTTCTTAAGGAAAGAATTCTGGACCACTGATGGAGAGAAAACTTCCGAGAGTCTCAACTAGCTTTTGAATTTATTAAACGTAAAAACATTCACAGCAGCGCTTGAAATCATGTTGTGTTAAGTCCAGTTGTCGGTAGGATTTTGGCGTCAATATGAACACAGCACGTAAACAACACATGATTTCTAGTGTTGGTACATTTCACTTCCTCGTGATCGGTTGAGTCACTTTGGGGTCCCATTAACCCATAGATCTTACCTCGGGAACTGTCTTGGGGAATTCTATTATTCTTTTTGACGTATGCATGGAAATTTCCCTGAGGAAATTTCCCTGAGGCAATTTCACTTTGGGAAAGTCGGTTTACACACAAAAAGTCGCCTCCCCATGTGGGCAAGAGCCATTTACCCAAGTACAAAGGCTAGGGTAACCGCACCTATTTTTTAGTGAATCATAACTGATGTCTTAATGTGATAACATTTGTTAGGATTACTGCTCTTTACAAAGCAAGAATTTGTGGTTGTGTACTATTAGAGTGATTTTATTTGACCCGTGAAACAGTATCTAACAGCAAGTACCATATAGTTGCAAAGTAAACAAAACAAAACAATAAAATTAGAGAGTAATACTGCGAAGTATTCCAGTATTTATTTCACAGGTTAAGTGAAAACACTCTAACTTCAATAATTTTGCCCTATAATAGCATACCCTTAGAGGCAGGAGCATTTGTGCGCTAATAGAAATATGTTCCATGGTAAATCCTAGTTAAGTTTACCACAGCTTTAGTGTAGGAAATGCCATTTACCGTGGTTTATGTAAGCCCACGTAGTGAAATAAGTTCTTTATAAAATAAATTATATAAAACCTTTATGGCTAAGTAAAATTTAAGAAAATTAGTTAGTCCCTGCTGTGTAACAGTGCAGGTTTTAAAATTTACTACATTCGTATCCACTAGTTTAAACTTGATGGATTGTAACATTGGTACATTTGAAATAATTATGGGGAGTACAAGGATTTATCACCTTCACAACTAGTGGAATTTTAGGGGAAAACATTTTTGCTGCTGTTACACATTGCAACTGTTTAACTTATTTGTAATAATTGCTTGTTATTCTTGCTTAACAGATTGTAAGTGGTGTGTTTATCTAGCATATACTTCTGCTTTTGAAGCACCAATCCAATAACTATCACCTTTACGGCATACAAAATTTTGAAAAATATATGTCCCTGCTGTTGTATATTGCAGGTTTTACAAAATACCGTAGTAATTACTCAGGATTCTTGATACAACAAATGGTAACTTAAATATAATTGTTATTCAGTACTGTTTTACAATATGTTGTCTTTTGCAGTACATTGTATTTTCCTCAGAACTTTAAAATCTAAAAACTTTCGACAGGAGCTGGAAAGCTATGCGCACTTTTTCGAGGGCAGTGGGCATATTTCTGGCATATTTATGGTATGTTTTTGAAGTCGTTCTAAACTAAAAGACTTTCAGCACGTGTTCGTCCCGAGTTTTTATTCTGATAAAACGCTGTTACTGGTTTTGTTTTGTTTTGTTTTATAACATAGTATTATGCAGTTCTTGAAAACTTTGCAGTTCCTTGAAAAGTCTTTGAAAACTTTCCAGATCCTTGAAGTTAGTGAAAACTGTTTTTGCAGATCCTTGAAAAGTAATCAGTGAAAAAGCTGACTTTGCAGATCCTTAAAAAGTTCTTGAAAAGTTTCTAGATTTTTGAAAAGTTCTTGGATTCAGTGCGATCTTCCTATTCTGTTGGGAAGCATTGAATTCTTGATATTATACAGAGGGAATAGAAACCAACATCAACAGTGGTCATAGTTGTAACTCAAGAAAAACATTTTTAGTCTTGAAGTCGACTTTGCTTATAAGACTTAAGAAAAATTTTTTGCTGAGGCAAATTCTCTATCGGAATAATTGAACCAAGCCTTATAGCAAGTATTTCACTCATAAGAGGTTTATACTAGAAATTTTTATTGAAATATGTAATTAGGAATGAACTTGTTAATTTATTTACGTGTCACTTGCATTGTGCATCACATCCGAACGAAAGTGACTAAGTTGGGGATCACGAAATTCACATTTGCGCAATGTTTTGATGCAATTTATTATCAATAAAGGACAGACGCACAAAAAACTGACGTCAATTTGTTAAGTGGATCAGTGAAACAGGGCTTAATAATATCTGCATGTGCGATGTCATCACAACCATTACAGTACCATTCTCGTCCCCAGTGCTACTTGTCTCAAAATTTTGTTGACGAGTAGCTCTGTTCGCACCAAAAAATTCGAATTTTTTTATTGCCTGACAATAAAATGCATGTGCAGCAGAAATGAAATAAAGTTCTACGCATTCCATTTTACTTCCGGCCCGGATGGTAGCACGCTCGCTGGTGCGCCTTATGAAAAAATGCGAAACCAATGGCGACCATTTCCGATCAATCGGAAGGAATCGTAACCGAACCAGTATGTCGACTGCAACGATGTCATTTTCGATTGTAATCATCGCCTTCTGTTGTAGCAGCCGAGAAGGTGAGAAGAAACGTTGAACTCTGAGAATTCAATCAGCTGATACATCAATTACTTTGTCGCTGACCATACCTCAGGAAATCATAAAATTAAAGGTTCGAATCGGCAGCGGGTTTCAGGAAACAAGGAAACCTTGAGCCAGATGAAAAGGCGAAGAAATACCACACTTGCTAAACAATTTTGTCACGTGCTGGAATAACGAGATGTCCGCGAACAAGGCATAAGTAAAAAGAACTACAAAGTACAATATAAGGCACGCAACAAAAGTGTGACATGAGCAGTTGGTTTTGGGGGCCGGCTGCCGCCAGGGCACTAAGGCGATATGGCGCTAAGTTGTAAACTTTAATTTTTGTTTAATTTATTAATTTCAATGACTTAATTAGTCTAGAGGCAAGGAAGTGGTGGACGTGAGACGGGAAAGGCGCATGTGTACCCTACGTAAAACATGTTCCATATACGACATTTAGGTGTGAACATCGCAAAGTTATTTATTTGTTTCAAGTAACCCCTTGCTGTCCTTGTGGTACTATTCGCTTTAGAACAAAACCAATTTGCTCTAAACGCATGCGCAGATTAGTTAGCGTTAGTGGCTTCTATATTAGGGGGAGGGTATATTGCATACGGAATCACGCACGTATGTTGAAAAATATTGGACTGTTTAACAAAGCCGTAAAAGTGGGATTCCAACGGATATATGCGAATCATGAAGTGCAATATCTGACCCAAACGCATCTTAAGTTTAAACATTTGATGGGAAATCATTAAAACTTTGAACTGTGTAAGCGGGGACCAACGTAACAAAGTAGAAGCACCGGATCCTAATAGAGGATCTAATCAGCTATGTAAATGTAAATAGACAGAAAAAAGACTGTCATTTGTAAGACCGTGAAGAAGAAAGGCCGTGCCTTTCGAAATATTGGCAAATATATAGTTCCTTCACTGTTAAATCAGCATTTCTTTTTTCTGTCTATTAAAACTTTGGACTGTTTAACAAAGCCGTAAAAGTGGGATTCCAAAGGATATATGCGAATGAAGTCCATTATCTCACCCAAACGCATCTAAAGTACAAACATTTGAAGGGAAATCAGTAAACTGGGGACTGTTTAACACAGCCGTAAAAGTGGGATTCCACTGGATATATACATATATATATATATGCGAATGAAGTCCAATATCTGACCCAAATTCATCTGAAACTACAAACATATCACGGAAAATCATGTAAGACTTTGGACTGTGGATTGTTTGGCATAGCCTTGAATGTGGGATTCCAATTGATCATGATATATCCGAATAAAGTCCAATATCAAGCCAAAACGCATCTAAACTACAAACATTTAGCTGGAGCTCAGTAAAACTGTGGATCATTTTGCGTAGCCGTGAAAGTGATATTCCAATGGTGAATGAGAATAAGGTCCAATTTCTGACGTAAACGCAACTAAACTGCAAACATTTGACGGGAAATCAGTAAAACTTGGAACTGTTTGGCGTTGCCGTAAAAGCGGGATTCCAATGGACGTATGTATGGGAATCATATGAAGTGCAATATCTAGCCAATGACGCATCTAAACTACAAACATTTGATGAGAAATCAGTAAAAATGTTGATTGTTTGGCATCGCCGTGAAAGTGACATTCCAGTGGATATATGCGAATGAAGTCCAATATCTCGGACCCAAATGCTACTAAACTACAAACATTTCACGTTAAATCAGTAAAACTGTGGATGGCCTTGCATAGCCATAAAAGGAGATTCCAATGGATGAATGATAATTAGCTCCAATATCTGTCCCAAACGCATCTAAACTACAAACAATAGACTCAAAATCAGTAAAACTGTAGATTGTTTGGTATAGCCGTAAAGGTGGTATCCGTAAGAATAAATGAGAATCGAATTAGGTCCAATCTCTGACCCAAACGCACCTATATTACAAACATTGAACGGGAAGTCGTTATTATTGGGTCTTTTATTGGATCAAACGCATGTTTGAACGGAGTTTAAAACTATCGCTCCGCATACCAAAGTAGCGTGCGCTATTGAATCGCGGAAAACTATTTTAAACCATCTTAAGGACAAAAACTTTCCTCAGGAACACTTTAAAGTGATTTGATGGCAATCCTGAAAGCCAAATCAACAAAGTTTTCATTTAACAGTAAGGGGAGACGCTAGCTCAAACAAGCTTCACCATTTAAGGACCTGACGCCAAATGGATTCGGCGTCCAATATCTGACCCAAATTCATCTGAAACTACAAACATATCACGGAAAATCATGTAAGACTTTGGACTGTGGATTGTTTGGCATAGCCTTGAATGTGGGATTCCAATTGATCATGATATATCCGAATAAAGTCCAATATCAAGCCAAAACGCATCTAAACTACAAACATTTAGCTGGAGCTCAGTAAAACTGTGGATTATTTTGCGTAGCCGTGAAAGTGATATTCCAATGGTGAATGAGAATAAGGTCCAATTTCTGACGCAAACGCAACTAAACTGCAAACATTTGACGGGAAATCAGTAAAACTTGGAACTGTTTGGCGTTGCCGTAAAAGCGGGATTCCAATGGACGTATGTATGGGAATCATATGAAGTGCAATATCTAGCCAATGACGCATCTAAACTACAAACATTTGATGAGAAATCAGTAAAAATGTTGATTGTTTGGCATCGCCGTGAAAGTGACATTCCAGTGGATATATGCGAATGAAGTCCAATATCTCGGACCCAAATGCTACTAAACTACAAACATTTCACGTTAAATCAGTAAAACTGTGGATGGCTTTGCATAGCCATAAAAGTGAGATTCCAATGGATGAATGATAATTAGCTCCAATATCTGTCCCAAACGCATCTAAACTACAAACAATAGACTCAAAATCAGTAAAACTGTAGATTGTTTGGTATAGCCGTAAAGGTGGTATCCGTAAGAATAAATGAGAATCGAATTAGGTCCAATCTCTGACCCAAACGCACCTAGGGGAGACGCTAGCTCAAACAAGCTTCACCATTTAAGGACCTGACGCCAAATGGATTCGGCGTCAACTTGCCAAAGCGTACCTCTCACTAAATTGTTGATGTACAAGAACGTACAATGTGTACAGCCGCCCCCTCAGGCTTCTCTCACGTAGAGAAACTAATATCATCAAGAACAAAAGGTGCCAAACATGAGTATAGGAAGAGCGTATATCTTATCACTAACATGAGCAACTGGGACATTAAAACAAACTGATCTCTCCAAACTCCCGACACGGAAAGGTTTTTTCAAGGAGACGATGAAAATGAAATATCTTGCCTTGCACGCTCTGCCAGACATCTCAGAAGCAGAAGAAGACCTGGAGGTCTGTATCGTTAATAGATATAACAAACGATAAGGCCCAAAAGGTTTGATGGCAAAGATCAAAGTTGGAAAGCACTTAACGGTCACGGAACCTATAAGGTTGAATCTGACAGCTTAAAACAGGAAATCCCTTAACTCTGTTCGTATATTTTCTTAGAAGAGATGGAGAGGAACAGCTGCGTCAAGAAGTAAAGCAAATTGGACTCATAATCAAAATGCCAAAGCTGATTCATTCCAAAGAGACAACCTGCCGTAATCGAAGAATTATTAGCTAACCAAAAGCAATATCGTGCAGTTCTTCTAATTTTTTTTTATAAAGGTACACTCTAAACCTGTGCTTTCATACTGTTGCATAGCATTCCTTTTCATGTCTTGTTCTGGCCCTATCAACTTCTGATTTCAGTTGCCTTAGTTTCTTTCTGCAATCTTTCTCCAATAATCGTCCGTGGGCCATTATTAAAAGTGTTCCTTCCAACGTTCAAGCTGATCATCAGCCTTGGCAAAGATTCCACTCGGCTTACCTTAATTGATTAGGTCTCCTTCTACCAAGAATTCATGTTGTTACATTGAACTAGCCTGTTAAAGGAGCTCAGTCACGCCGGGTATTTTGAGTTATTTTGAGCATCGACAAAATTACTGTTAAATTGAAGGAAACCTGAAAATAATACTTTACCAAGATAGAAAAACACTAAAGAGATCATAACAAAGCATAAAGGAACAAGGATCTGAAGGATGGAGAAGATTGACACGGATTGAAAAACAACGAAATTGAAAAGTTTATCTAAACTTTTCAAACCGTTTAACCGTGACTGAGCCCCTTTAACATCGCCCTAACTTGAAGCTTTTAAAGCATCTGTGGCTATCTTGTTGATAGAGGACCTCTTGTCTGTTCGACATGCTATATGTTTACTTGCTTTCCTTTGATTCCATGCTGTTGCATTGCATTTCCTCTAGTCAGTATACGCCCTTTCAGCTTCCGTTTTCAGTTGCATTGCTTTCACTTCTTTCTTCAATCTTCCTCCGAGCGTC